CTACTTTCTGAATTCTACCGTTGAGATATGACGAGACAAGTTTCGACGCCTTGCCATTTACACCGTAATGTTCCAGCTTCCTAATAAGAGTATTATGATCAACGCAATCAAATGCCTTTGAGAGGTCACAGAAAACACCAATAGCGTTCTGGGACCTTTCCCAAGCATCAAAGATGTGTTTTAGTAACGCTACCCCCGCATCGCTAGTCGATCTACCACTAGTAAACCCGTATTGTTCACTATGAAAAATATGATTCCTACCGAAAAAGGACAGTAATTGAGTTAGCATAACCTTTTCGAATATTTTACTTAAAGCTGGTAAAATTGAAATGGGCCTATAGTTGCTAGGATCAACTTTCCTACCGCTTTTGAATAAGGGAATAACCTTGCTGTATTTCATTAAATCGGGAAAAACACCTTCGTCAACGCACCTATTGAAAGCTACAGCTAACTGTTGGGAAATGAGATTAATAACTGAGTCTATAACTTTAGTTGATATGCCCCAGAGATCTTCAGTTTTTTTAACATGTATTGACTTAAAAGCTTTTATGATGTCTTGTGGATTAACATGACGAAAATTAAATAAACTGCCACAAACGTTAACATTTTCCTTTAGGAGATCAATAGCAAGTGAAGGGGAGGAATTTAATGATTTTGTAGTGTTCACAGCAATTTCCGAAAAGAACGATTCAAAAGCTTGGGCTACTTTATCTTTAGATTTTATAAGTTTGCTGTCTAATTCTAAAACTATATCTCTATCGTGTAGTTTAACCCTGCCTGACTCTTTATTTATTATGCTCCAAGTAGTTTTAGATTTATTTATCGATTGTCTAATTTTGTCGCTGTGAAACTTAACCTTAGCAGCTACACAAACTTTTTTAAATATTTTCGAATAAATTCTAACATATTCTATAAAATTGGAATTATTATTATAAGTTTTCATAGCATATAGCTCATACAAACGAGACCTACTCTTATGAATACCTACTGTTGCCCAGTCGTTGAATTTAGTCTCTCTATGGAAAGTTAATGTTTTCGATTTAAATATATTGTCAAATTCATTTTTAATTAAACCAAATATCGTGTTATATAAAGTATTTGGATCCTCCGGTATATGGGATAGGGAATTTAAACTATTGCCGATATTATTTTGAAATCTAATGATTCGTTCTGTGGTAATCGGTCTGCAGAGAAATTGGTCTACCTTCTTGCTCATTTTACAATTAAAAGAAGCCAATTGGCCACTATGGTCGGATCTTAAGCAATTAATTATTGATTTAGACACTGCGTCTGTGTTACAAAAGATGTTATCAATACAAGTAGAAGAGGAGGCAGTAATGCGAGTTGGTTCTAAAAGAAGATTAATCAAGTTAAAACTTTGAAATAAATTAATGAGTCTTACAGAAGTAGAACAGTTTTCCAACAGGTTTACATTGAAATCTCCACATATTACTACGTTTTTTTTGGTTGGAAAAATCCGCTTTAAACTGTCTTCCATAATTAATTCAAACTCGTTAAAATTAGTAGAGGGGGGCCTGTAACACATAAGACGACAAACTGATCCAATTCCACACATGAAATCTCAATAGTTCGTTCAGTAGAAAGATTTGTGATATCCTTACGCTCTTTAAATTTTAAGTTACGCTTAATAATAATCATGGATCCGCCTCTACTTAAGCTCTTTCTTATGAACGAACTGACTATTACATAATTTTCTATATTGTTAATGGCTTCGTAATCTTTCAGCCAGTGTTCTGTAACACAAAACACGTCAACGGAAATATCGTGCAAAAAAAGACTTATTTCTAATGTTTTGCCAGAAAAGCCTTGAATATTTTGATGTACTACATGGAAACGATTAGACTTTTCTGTTGTCGTGTTTTTTAGTTTAAATTATGCTTATTAAAAAGTATACTGTTGCTACTTAAAGTAGGAGCATTGTCGTGGGACTGTGTTATATCTTCTATAACAGCGTCCTTAATATTAAAAGATAGCAAACTAGCTATATGTCTTAGATACCTTAGGGGTAAAAGTAAATTATCCTCAAAAAGATTGAAGTTCCTTACGAACTTATTAATATCAAAACAAAATATAACGTCACTATGACGGCAAGTCAAATTATGAATGTGCGAATTTATGTTGTATATATACTTATTACGAGCGATGCCTAGGTTAGAGCAGTAAGGGAATGCACTTAGTATGAATTTACACCCACACTTCTCATGAATTCTCAAGAACACGTCAATGCTACTATTTACTTCTTTTTTACTAATGTTAGTACTATCACCTATTATAAGAATCACTGTTGTATATTTATCAAAGTTGCAATCACTTAACAGTGTAATAATTTGACTAAAAGTAGCTCCTGGATAGCAATAGTTGACTACCCTTTGTTTTAAGTGGTTACTAAGGTGGTGGCCTAGTCCTACGCCTATTTTATCAGAAAAAACTACCGTTCTTCTGGATGGCCTGGTCGGAGTTCTAATAGTCTTGGTTGACCGTTGACTGTGTCGAACTTCAACAGTTGTAGTGGAGCAGACACGTTTTCCTGCAGCAACGCTGGCATACGATGCACGTGTTGGTTGCGTTGATGATGTGGGTGGTGGGGACGGAGTCTGATTTGTTTCTACTGGACCATTTGTTTCACTAAGCTCATCGTGAAGAAGGACTTCAGTAAGTTCTCTATACTCAGTACCCAGCTTTAAAAGCTCATTAGTTGCAGCTGAAAGTTCTTCTAGTTGTTTCTGCGTAGAAAGTAGGTCTTTAGTTCGCGATTGAAGATCTAACTCTAGATCTTTCACTTGTTCGGCCATCTTCACCTTGTCCTTGTGTAAATTTAATTTTTCTGATTTTAGTTTCTTAAGAGTTTTCGATTTCTTTCTTATCAGGTTGGTTAATTTGGAAAATCTTGGGTCTTGCGATTTAGTGCTGCATAATTTACTGTTGCATACATTCCTGTCTCCCAGAGCTAGTTCATCACGGAGTGACAAGGTCGTTAGGTGGTCGTAACTTCCGCTTTGTTCGTGTAATGATGCAACTTCAGCATTTGATTCCTTTACCTGTCTTTCAAGAAACCTGATACGGTCTAAGGCATCTTCGTGTTCCTGGTGATTTTCTCGGAAGCTCTCTATAATTAATTCCTTTCGTTTGCACTCTTTTTCTAATTCTTCACAAAATCGTCGAATTTCATCAAATTTCCCTTTTAATGTCATTCGTGAAGTCTTGAGCGCCTGCATTTCCATTTCATATACATCGCGATATGATATGATAATGCAATTCCATCGTTAGGTTTATTGGTAAATAATTTTATATTTAATTTAGATTAAACAAGACTCATTTACTATACATTTTGGTTGCAACTTTGTTTGTTACATAATCATTTAATTTTGCTTTATTAATGTTTTCAGGAGAGCCGACATTAACACCTCCACCACGTTCACCAGGTTACGCACCTGCAACCCCTGCCTCTGGCGACGCTAAACACCACCCACCAGACGGTACTTCTTCCGACAAGGTATACTATAGGATTATTAATTTTTCACCACCATCATCAACATGTTATAGGCTCTGTACGCATTACGACTCGTTGATGATGATATTTGCAATATTTGTTTATTCAATACCATTGGCTTACAATTATATGGACGTCGGGTCCGCGCTAAAAAGTGTCCGAACTTATAGGGCGTTAAAATCGTATACAGAGCGTCATTCACGCTTTAGTCTTCGTTTGTTCGGCTGACAGCGAAGCAAGCAAAATTAGACAGTACTGCGATGACATTACAATTTAAATTCAACGTTTTAGCTTTTTCATATTCCTTTACATGTCACTACGTTTAAATATGTTGATTTGGGACATTTTTTTCGTGGTTTTTGTATTAGACCCGTCGTCCATTTATTTGTAAGTCAATGTTCAATACTGTATTTTTTTTTGTGAAAATTCTCCACTACAGCAAGGCTCGGTCACTCGCTAAGATTACGCGATAAGTGCCTACCGCTGAGTGCGCCGGCGTCGGCGCAAGCGCTCACGCAAGTCTTTCATTTATGAGCATTCGGCACGACTGCACACGGCGGGCAACGTTATTTTCACCTCTCTGAGCGCGTGCTTAGGTTCCTTTTTCCTCGTAGTGACCGCCTGGTGTCATCAGTCAGATTTAGTAGGCTATTATAGCGTAGGTATTTTTCATTTTATATGAGAGTCATGTATCTTTTACTAGCTTACTTTCACTCCTTCTGAAAGTTCGTCCAGGGTAGTACTGCCAGTTTACAATTACAGGCACATGGGACTTGTCAATTTATGTTCTCATGTGGGGTAAAGCGGCAGATATTCAAACCATATTTGTATTGCAAAAACGAGCGATTCGTTCTGTGTACCGTCTAGGCTCTCGGGTTTCTCTCAGAGAAAAGTTTAAGGAGACTGGTATTATGACTGTGGCATCACAGTGCATTTACTCAAATATTTTATATGCCCGTAAAAATATACATAATTTCAATAAGAAAGAAGATATCCATAATATTAACCTTAGAGCTAAGTCCAAAGTCATGGTACCACGATTTCGTTTAACCAAGGTAAACAACTCTTTTATGGGGAACTGTATACGTTTTTACAATAAGATTCCGGAGCATATATTAAGTTTATCCTAAGTTTAAAAACTACATTAAAAATATTTTGATCGAAAAATCATATTACAAAATTGAAGACTACATGTTAGATAAAGATGTATAGAAAGACGACATGGTCCAGAATCCACACAAATTTGATTCAAAGTGTATTCCATAGCATTTAAGTTTATTTCAAAAGAGCATCCCTAGAGTTTCTTGCTCGTTCTTCTCAGGGAGGTCAGCGTAGTGAACGAGCAGTAGCTTAAATGTGACGTTTTCAAGTGTAAATTTATTTTACCTATGGAATAAATAATCTTTGACTTTGACTTTGTAAAGCTCTGATTGACTTTGTAACTGCTATGGACAGGCGTGTAGCTTACCATAAGACGGACGACTTGTTCGTCCCGTCCCTTAATATTGTATATATACATATAAAAAAACGTGACTATTAAGTAATCTGTGACTACGTGCTTACCGCTTAACGGCGCGTGTGTACGCTAAGAAAAGTCGCTGGGTCTAAGCAAAAATTCGTGTCGTTTCTACACGAACTGTGTACACTGTCTCGGCGCCGGACAAGAAATAATCTTGTCTACCCCCGACTCGACACGCTCTGTCGCTATTGTATGGGGCGCATTGTCAGTGAACGAATGTTTATGCGTGGACTGATATTGCAAAGTACCACTGTCCAAAATGCATGATTTCCTTATAAGTTTAGTAGAGGAACGACCTGTATTGTGGGACAAAACCTTAGAGATTTATAAAGATAAACGACGTACTTTTGAAGCGTGGAGAGAAATATTTATTATTCTATATATGTAATTTGCAATCACCATTTTTTTTATTAGTAGTCAACATATTTCTTCACACAGTCGGTAGTAAAGCGACAGCTACCTGGATATGCAATAACACGTTTACCCTATACACGTCTGCCCGAAAGCATTCGTGTCGTGTACATGCTCATCGTTTTCTTGTCTGCAACAGACACGAAATATTTTCGTGGCTAGATCCGACAAAATTCTTGTCGTGTACAAGGCCATTCTCGTCTTTTCTGTTGCAGACACGACGAATTTCTTAGCGTGTACAGGCGCCGTAACTGAGACGGTTCCTGATAGTTTACGTAACAATTATGACGCGCTGCATACGGGATAATACTTTCAACAAAATTTTCTGTCGATATTCAATAACAAGTTGATTGAAGAAAGTGCCAAATGGCATGTCTATTCTCTTCAATTATCAATGAAATAGTTTTATTTTATTATCTTTTCCCACGTCAACAATTGACTATTTTGGTAGGCGGAAAATATAAAAAGACTCAGACTGGTGGAAGGTCATTCCAACATTTAGAAGCGAGGAAGCGGTTTTATTTGTTTTTTTTTCTATGATTTTTCTCGCCATCCAGAAACTTATGAATTACGTGACCATAATTTTTGTTTTCCCTCGGAGCGGGACGCCTGTAAATTTGTTATTCTTTTAAAAATAAAACACTTGTTTATGATAGTTACGAAATGTTTGATATTAAAAAAAGGTACTAAAAAAGATTAATGATCGAAAATTAAAAAAAAATTGGTCTTGTGTAATCTGGGGGCTGACCCTTAGAGCAGTTGTATGATCTAAGGGCTGACCATATATATTTTTCGAATGGACAAATTTACTTTAGTATGTAAGGTTTAGTTCTTAAATATACATGTAACTATTGGCATGATTTTTAAATTATATGTCACGTGTGTCGTGTTATGTCAAAGCAGGTTTGGGGACAGCGGGATACGAAGCTTAAAAGCGGGACTGTCCCACTCAAAGTGGGACGTAATAATATGGTCACGTTACTTATGAAGTTACTTCACTCAGCCAGTACCTTTGCAGCTACCAGAAGCTGACGAAAGATGTCGCTATATTAATTGCAATATTTTTAATATTTCGTTTCTAGTCTTCGGAGACTGCAGTCGGCGGTGTTTCCCGAACCCCCAGTACTGCGCTAACGCGAAAAGAGAGTTACAAGGCACAACGCCAGCACTATCGCCGTGAGAAGAAACGCGCTGCGTCCGCGTTGCTGCACTCCATTGAGGACCCTAGCGTTGTGGTTCTTGCGGACTGGTTGAAGGTATTTTTTTATACATTTTTAATAACGTACTATAAAGGCTGATCACATGTGTAAGTTTGCCTATATACAGTGTGTTAGGGCACGCACTGTACAAACTTTAAGTGTGGGTCAGTCAGGTCCTATTGTACAAACTTTTAGAATTGTGGACATAGGATTATGATTTTTGTCGTGTTTGTAAGAACAGCTGAAATACTTTAAAATTCATACATAAAAACAGTACCTTAATTTGGTTATTTTAGGATTAAATTACAAAAACTTAGTTTTTTTGGTAAAAATTTACATTCATTATTTTTTTTAGGCAATCCCCCACTTTTTTATGTACATGACAGATATTTTATTCAATTGCCGCTAGTCTTAGCTTTCCGAAAAAATATTTTTTATGTTCGTACTGCTTTTACTTCGCATAATATGATAATTTTAGAACAAACGTCTAGTAAACTAAGTATAACAAATCAAAATGGCTGCCATTCCTAGGGAGTCGAGTTTTGACCCCACATGTATTAGTGTTTTCCACATAATATTGAATACTAAACACCCCCTTAAAGTTTGTACAGGGCGTGCCCTAACACACTGTATAGGTAAGGCACTATCTTACAGTGAGGAGGAGGGATGTAGCAGGCTGGTTCAGTTTATATTTAGAATTGCATAAATAATAGAAGGTTGTTGTCAAATGGACATCTGGAGAGTTTTGGACAAAGCTTTCGAATTGAATACACGTAGTAAAGTTTTATTTATGAATATAATCCTCGTTTATCATTGAAAAGTGCCTCTCGCTACGCTACCCTTACAGTAAAACACTCATAGCCCCGCACTACGGGAATCCCTGCGCGTGCCATGTACACACCCATAGACAACCACAAATTACACCCACTTACCCGAATTGAACCCGGGACCTCTGCGTGGCAGACCAGCATGGTAACCGTTCGGCTATGGAGGCAGTTTAAAAGACAACATCCCTTATGTTGCTGTGATCCCAAAGTAAGTAACTACAGCACTTTGCACTGCTATTACAGTAGTGTTGTAACTCGAAATATGTGAAATTGAATATTATGTCATTACTGAACGTAACATTTAATTCTCTACACGTCAAAATAACCGTCGTTAGCATATTGTAAGAAACAATCAAAATATCTACTTAACTCAAAATGTGACACCCTTTAGGTGGTCAAAATTATCCTTATTCACAAACATGAAATTATTTTTTCAATTTTATTTTTAAATATATTTGAGAAATTGTTTAAGTGTCTATAATAATATATTACTTACTTTACTTATACTTTTTCGTCTATTCAGAGAAAGTCCTCTTTTTGAGTTAATACACTATTGCATTAACAGTGGGACTTGTGTTATGAAAATCGGAAACAACGACGGTACCACAAACACCCAGACCCGAGACAAGCTAATTTTGTGCATTGACCCGGCCGGGGATCGAACCCGGGACCTCGACAATATTTTGGCCATCATCTTCGTATGTGCTGAGGTTTTCAGTGTCGGTATATTCAGCTGTATCGGGATAAGGAGACTTAACCGTTTCAATTAAGCTATAAAATGATAAATTACTTATCACTAATTAATTAGGCACTAATTTCTTATTCTACTCTGGTTCCATGGACATGGCAACATTGCAGAGTGGAGCTTAGTATTACAATCTGTGGAAATTGAAGAACGGTAGTAGCAACATCAGGTCTCTTTTAGAAACTGTATTAAACTCCCGATATTCCTTACATACCCACTATAAAAATGGGTAAATATAGATTCTGAATAATATGGTTTTCTCTACTCCATAAACTATGAAACTGAAACTCATAATAATAACTCTGATAATCGTAATATTATTACGATGTGATTATAAAAGTACAGTTTTCATTTCTGACGACCTCGTGGACCTAAAAATTTACACTGTGGGCGCTGGATGCGGAGGTCCCGGGTTCGATTCCCGGTAGGAACAATTTGGGAAATGAACTTTTATAAATTGGTTCTGTTCTGCGTGTGCCCCAGAGTGAATTCCGTTGCTCTTGTACTCACAGTACAAGGAATTTAGGGTTATTTGGGACATTATCATTGTTATTTTCCGAGTTTTTGTGATATCGTCCAAGAATATTTTTTCGGACTGTGTTCTCCAAGTTTCATCTACTTCCTCCGACTTTGTTCTTTAACTTTATTCTACTTCCTCCGACTTGTTTTTTAGCTTAATCCACTTCGTCCTAGTTGTGAAGTATACGCATATATTACGAATACTAATAAATTAATGATATTTTGTCTGTTGCAGGTCCGAGGCTCTCTAAAATCATGGACAAAGTTGTGGTGTGTGTTGAAACCCGGGCTTTTACTGTTGTATAAAAGTCCTAAAGCTAAAGTAAGTGAATTATTACTTTTGATTTTTATTGAATTGATACTCAATTATTTTTTGTGAAATTACTCCACTAATTTGTTATAATTATTAATACCAAGATCGAAAACTCAGAAAAAATCCCTTCGATCCGGCCGGATTCGAACCGACGTCTTCTAGCATACCGTGCCAAACGCTATACCAACTAAGACACGGAACGAACCAGCGGACCTCACGAATTTTTCTATGTGTTTGTTGTCGTGTCTCTGTATTTGGTTTTTCAACGACTTTTTAGTCGTAGCGCCATCTATGAGAAATGTATGAAAGTTTTATCACCCAGTTTGATACCTTTACAGCTACCAGCCATGGCGATAGATGTCGCTATTCACTTACTATATTACTTTTGTTTCATTTTATATCATACAAAAATCGTATTTTTATGTAAATAAAAAAATGAACACCAAACTTAGAATTACACTCACAATTACAAAAGTACACTATACCTAGTACGTGTACATTTATAAAAACGAGCGTATAATATTATACATTGAATTTACTTAACAATTCTCTGCCTCAAGAAATCTAATTTATTAAATATTATTTGCAAGAATTGGCTATTTGTTCTTTGTGTTATAATTGTTCGTTACATTAATTAATCGACTTTAAAAAAAGGGAGGTGGTTCTCAATTCTGCTGTTTTTTATACAGATATATATGATACGCGATAACTTTGGCATTTGAAAATCGATTTTGATGATTTTTTTTTGAAAGAGGGTACCTCAGTAGCAGTCCCATTTAAATTTTAAGAAAGTATTCCATCTCTAAGGGTGGTAAACTAGGATATGAATGACTTTTGAGGTCGGTTTTTTTAGTACTCTAAACTGAGATTGTTTTAAATTCAGTATATACAGGGTGTAACAGCAAGGTGTAGTCATATTAAAGGAGCCAAACCTATACTTGATCTAGACCCTCTGTGCAAAATATCAAATAAAAATAAGTGACTTTTAATGTTGATATAAGTTTAATTATGTTTGTATAAATAGTGATTGTCCGAAACAACCACTGCGTCACAACTCTATTGCTAGTTACGTTACTACGACTTCACAAATTCATTCATGAAACCTGGGCGGCCGCAAGCGGGGGGGAAAGAACAGCTGACTACAATTGAAATGCCATTGTAAAAACATGATTTGAATATGTTGATAATACGTTAATATTAAGTAACAAAATCTTTAAATATCTAGAAAAATCGAATTATTTCTAACAATATTATTTTATGCCATACCTAGGTACGCGTACGTACTTATTTACATACAATTTAAAGGATATTTATTTACTTATTAAGCCCGTAGTTACGCACGCCTTCATCGTATACACATTCTACATAATTTTGTATTAATACATTTATTTACGACAATTTTACAATAGTGGATACTTTTTTAATTGGTACTTACGTATTGTTCAATTCATACACGTTTTAATGAATTTCCTACGAATTGTAATTCACTGTTGTACAATGTACGAAATATTGACTTGTTTACGACAATTTTGAATAATAAGTACAATCACTGCACGCACTGCTGGCACATTTCACACATTTACAGGTAAGGTTCAAAATGCCGACCTCCATGCAATATGCATATTTCCGTGCGTCGGTACAGAGACTGCTCTACTCTTTGAAGCATCTGCAGAGTGATTTGACTAAACGCCATTTCGATCCGCTGCCTCATTTCTTCTGCGCTTTCACAGGACTCCGCATAAACAATATTTTTATATGACCCCATAAAAAAAATCGAGCGGTGTCAAGTCTGGGGACCGCGCTGGCCAGGGTACAGGACCTCCCCGCCCAATCCACTGCGGGAAACGGTCGTTCAGATGGGAACGTACATTTCGAGCAAAATGTGCCGGTGCTCCATCGTGCTGGAAAGTCATCCTGTGTTCCATCACGAGTCTCACGTATTGTGTCACTGGCAGAGCCATCAGAACGTCATCCAAGTCTTCTGTTAGGAATCTTAAATAATTGGCCCCATTCAGACTTGCCGGCAAAAACACTGGACCGATGACGGCACAACCTATTATACCAGCCCACACGTTAATCCGCCACTGGTGTTGAAAATTTGATTCCCTTGATACGCGGGGATTTAAATGAGTCCAAAAATGTTCATTATGCATATTGATAATGCCCGCACGCGTAAATGACGCCTCGTCTGTCCACAGTACCGACGAAGCGAAGTCGGGAGACCTCCCAACCTGGTCGCGGTACCAGCGGCAAAATGCCAAACGTAGATCATAGTCCGTTTGTAACAGCTCCTGCGTTCTTTGAAAATGGTATGGGTGCTGGCCATCATCCCGTAGCACACGCCACACACTCATATGGTTCACACCACCAAAGGCTGCCGCAGCACGACGAGTAGGTACTTGTCTTTGGATTGCCGAGAAAATGTTCCAAAACATCTGCCTCGAATTCTGGGTCTCGTGAACTCGGCCGGCCTTCAGAACTGGAACCACGGAACGATCCACTATTATGAAGTCTCATAACCATCTTCCTGAAGCATTCCAGAGTAGGAAATGGTCGACGTCGATTTTCTGGGACGCCATCAATAAACTTTGCCCAATAAATTTGGCGAGTCTGGCGCAAGCTCCCATCGGCTGCGCCTACGCACAACATCATCATCATCTCATAGTAATCACTATTGCTTAAGCGTGACATAGTTTAAATAAACACAAAAACGAGACACAAACAAAACGATGACACCTATTTAGTCCTCACAACGCAAACGGCAATTACAGACTGTTACAAAAAATTAAAAAATAGCGTCTCTGCCTCAGCGGCGGCACATCAAAGGACGCCGACTGAAACGCAAATTTTGGAATATAGGGTAACGTTTTCATAATGTACCTACAGGATGAAATTAAAATGATTACCATCCTTTTAAAATAAGACCCTTCTCATGATACAAATTACATCATTACATACACATTAAACGAATACCTATATCCTACGTATCTACGACCTTCAACGTTGCACTGTATACGCATTTGTTTGTAAACAAGCTCTGACCATCACCCGTACCACTTCCACACAACGCAAGAACTGACTGAGTGATTACGGATATACTGCACTAAGGAGGCAGTCACCCATCGGAAACCCACGACGACGTCCGAAACGAAAGCCTAACACACTAACCACTACACCATGGAGGCAGTCGACTATGGTAATCAAATCCACAACTGCCGAAACGAAAGCCTAACACTCTAACCACTACACCATAGAGGCAGTCGACTATGGGAATCAAATCCACTACCACCACAGTCTAACATTAACCACTACTCCACATCACGATGTATAAAATCAAATGCTGGCGGCGAAAATCAAAGGTGATATTTTTGCCGCTAAAGTTGCCGCCAAAGGCTTGCGACTTCGCTACTATTACGTATCGCGTACGCAAGGCGACTAATCTTGATACTTTGTTTATTTAGGTAAGATTTTTTATGGTTTTACACTATTGCTAATTTAAACTATTCTAAAATATTTCTTTAGATGAGTAGATATTATTAGGAAGTAAGAACCTTAATAGGTTCAACGGATATTAATTATTTCAATTTCACCATGTAACAAACCCATACACAGAAAGTTGTCGTGTGTAGATAAGTCAAATTAAGCGTAAGCCTGTTGTTAGAAACGTGTGCTCAGCAATAGACGTATGTAAGTTAGTAAAGTACTATTTTTTTGCACAAGGTTTAGTCCACTACACTTGCATAGTAAGTTCTGGTTGGAGACTTGACATTCTCGCATCTTTGAAGATTTCGGCAATTATCTCCGAAATCCAAGTTTTCTCACGATATTTTCATTTCCAAGCAAGTGATGAAAATTACAATAATTAATTCGTGGTCAACGATCAAAACTAATTTCTTGACGTTTGCCGACCTTCAGGTTGCACCTTTACGATGAAAGTGTCCCAATACAAAATTTCAACTTTTTGGGAATAAAAAAGAAAATAAGATTTCAAGTTGTGACATTTTCATATTATTTTATTTATTACTCTTGAAGTACTAAAGGTGATGGCCTTATTAGTCTTTGAAAATAATGAGGAAAAATGGAACTTTACAACTGAAAATTGTTTCTGATCATTTTAATGTTCAACAATTTAAAAACATAATTTACAAAAACTAGTCGCCGGAGACTTGTGCAAGCTCCTATGAAAATACCTTATCCGACTTAGGGTTTTTACGTTGCATATCGCAATATACTAGAATTGAATCTACAGTCATAGGCACATCAAAAACGTGCATAGATCATATTTACATTCGCGATGTCATTAAAAGTGATACAGGGGGGTATTTAATCCACTCAGCAGTCGTGCGTAGTTCAATTGCAGACCACTTTATCACTGGTCTCGCACTTACCAGCTCATACCCACGACCATATAAAGAAACTGTACATAAATTGGATGAAAATATGGTGAAACAGGAGCTTGCAAAAGTGGACTGGAGTTTAGCACTAGAAAAAAGTGACCCAAATGATATAATAAAAATAATTATAGAGGAATTTGATCGAATATATAATAAATGTTTAACTACAAAAAAAGCAATTATTAATTATAAACTCAGCAGTAATTGGATTTCAGATAAATTGATACAGATGTCTAAGAAAAAATCTGAGCTTCTAAAAATTTATTTAAGGAATACAACCAATAAACATAATCAGTTAATTTATAAAGCGTATAGAAACCGAACAAACAGATATATGAATAAGGCAAGGAATGACTCAACAAAAAGAGATATTTGTAGTAATTTTAATAATCCAAAAAAAATGTGGGAGATAATAAATAATTTAACAGGTAGAATTGTGAAAGCTTTAGATGAAATGCTATTGAAATCTTTTAAAATGAAAGCTAAACCCTTGTCAGACAAATTTGCACATGAATTTGAATTGAATGTAAAAAAAGTATTAAATACGTGTGATGAACCGCTTCTTGACAAAAATACTTATATTAATATACCTACAGTTTCATTAAAACTTAATAA